ACGCTCTTATTCCAACGCCTTTCGGATGATGGAATGGTAGTTAACCCAGACAAGTATGAACTGGGCAAGGAAGAAATAAATTTATTGAGTCACATCATTAAGCATGCGGGTATTGAACCTTGTGAAAGTAATGTACGTATAATGGTGGAGTACACCGTACCGTCCTCACTCACGGTACTGAAGGCTTTTCTCGGTTCGGTTAACTTCTACCGACGTTTCATTCCTCACGCGGCAGAGCAGTTACGACCATTCACCGACTTCGCGGTAATCCACGTAAACTAGAACTGTATGATGCCGCGCGTACTGCATTCGCTGAGATAAAAAAAGCTTTAGCTCAAGCCGCGCTCCTTTCCCATCCTGATCCATTAACCACGCTTAGTATAGAGGTTGATGCATCAGATTTTGCTATAGGAGCCGTTATGCAACAAAACACCTCTGGAATCTGGCAACCTCTTGAATTTTTCTCACGGCCCCTTACTCCCACTAAGACGAGATATAGCGCTTTTGGTTGATAACTGCTAGCAGCCTACTTGCCATCAAACATTTCCGGCACGCAGTAGAAGGTCGTGACTTTATCCTCTTGACCGATCATTAGCCTTCAACGTATGCTCTACATACCAAGTCTGACCGCTACTCACCACGAAAGTGCAGACATTTGGACTACATCTTTCAGTTCATGCATACGCACTACCGCCTACCACCCAGCTTCGAATGGTTTAGTTGAACGGTTTCATCTTCAACTTAAAAGTGCCCTCCGAGCACACGAAAACAACAATTGGTACGGAACCTTACCGCTTGTCTTCTTAGGTATTAGAACGAGCTTAAAGGCAGATACTCAATGTTAAGCCGCTGAATTGGTATACGGCACGACATTGCATCTGCCTGGGAAATTTTTAACACCACAGAGCATTGATAACCTCAGTAAATCAGACTACATCTAATGATTGTCTGAATTTATGCGAGCAATGCCTCCGGTACCAACTCGATTACAGCATCAACAGGTCGCTCTTCCTCGAGAGTTATCTACCTGTTCGCATGTTTTCATACGAGTCGATTCGGTACGCAAACCTCTGCAACAACCTTATGAAGGACATTTGCACGCGATTTCTCGTCATGAAAAAACCTTCAAGGTTGTTCGTCAGCATTGACCGTCTTAAAGCAGCACACATCGATAACAGTGCCCTACTTCCTATTGCGGAACCCAATGCTAGACCTGTCGAACCCACTAGCAGGATACTTAAAGCTACTTCGTGTCCCATGATAGACAAATCAGAGACCTCGTTCTCACGTCCCAGTCAACAGCACACGCCATCTGCACTGTCTACTGATGAGATTCCGGTCTCATGTTCAGATCAGCAGACCACGCCGCTCTTGACTTTGGATGAGAGTGCTAGCTCATAAGGTAAGCACGAGACTACCGTCCCTCGTTCCGGTAGCCTCATACACCTACTTGTACGTTTTCTCGAAAAACCACCCAGGCAACTACGGATACGTGATAGTACACTATCCTCGTACTCCATATATCCTACACGTTTCTCTTTTGCTTTCATTTTGTATCCTGAGCCCATGTCTACGACCATCAGCCTGTTGGTACCGTTGACTTCAGTCAATCTCGGTGAAAGCTGGTCTGATCACCGACGCTCTTGTCAATGCACTCAGTCGATGTTTTGGTCTCGAATGTTCTGGTATATGGTTTCAAACTTGATCATTCTGGTCGTTTTTGGCTCTCTTGCTCAATCTGGTTCCGTCCTATGTCTTCTGCTTCTTCTGGTCCAGAGCACCATAAACTCAATCTTCAGATTGTGGATACGAGCCACGCTGGTGTGGCATTCTAAATCGAAGCACGTTACTACTGGCACAGTTCAGCGTAGAAGACTTTCGATAACAACTGGAGCTTAATTGGTCGCTTTCTGTCCGTCAACCCTCCTTCCCTGCAATCGCCCGTCAGCCGACAGTCCCCCCTCTGCGCGAAACCCTCAGGTATCGAAAGTGTTAACCGTTCTAGGGGGGGGCTAATCTAGTGGTATACTTGTTACGAAGAAAACACATTTGCTGAAATATAAACATTTATTATTATAATTAATTCTGACAATAATTGTCATATTGTGCTCCTTTTGTTTATCTGTACTAAAGACAATCTCTCGCGCGCCAAGCGTGTCATTCCCATTCTGATTCTCCGCGTTTCTCCTACCTCATCGTTAGCCTCTTGTGTATCCTCTAGCCTCGATATTATTTTGATATCACGAGGCTAGCAATAAATATGCTTCTTCATCTAGAATCATCATTTATTTGACTTCTAGATTAACGGGATTAACTTTTGTTATCCCGAGAGTTTGTATGTTTATTCGGTACTACTATAAAACTATCAGTGAGGATCGGACGTAAAGGAAATTATGTCTCTATTTCATCTGTTGTCGATGGAATTCGTTGTTGAACAAAAGGTGGATATCAAATGTGCATTTCAATGGAAACTGTCGACTAAATATGTGAAAACTGTTGAAAAAGAAACCAGAGAGACTTATCCCAATAAAGTGATTTAAAAGGTTTTGGTTGAAAAGTTCAGTTAATACCCATATTTTGTTTAACAGCGAATTCCGTAGACAAATACATGGAGTAGAGATGAATCCTTTCTAAACTTATCACTAATACTACATTAGTAAGTAATGTAGGTGATTTATTTGTATGGTGTTGAAATAAAATCTTTCTAATAGGTGATTACAATATATTTCATAAAACCTGCTAAAAAATGAAAACTACTAATTACAAGTGTAAGATTTGAAAGTCAAGTGATCTTGATCATAACTTCTTTCTACTTCAGAATAAAAAACATTTTACCCTTTTAAAATTGCATACTCTTTAACGCAACATTCGAAGGTGAACTGGAAAACTGGAGAAGGTAAAAGTGAACGAATGTATGATAACAAAACATTAATCATATTGTGTCATAGGTTGTTCCACCTTGGTTGTATAGTGACTTCAAAATGAAATTTTCTATCGGTCCGTGAAATTCAGTATACAGAAAATTGAGTTCATGTATGGGTTAGATACTTTGACTCCGTTGCACTTGAGTCCTCTTGAGAGTTGAAGGTGAATTTTGAATTGTACTTCACACTAGCATATGTAAAACCTATCTGAAAGATACTGACTCATTATTGTTCATCTGCTCATCCATCAGTTTACTTTAATAAGATTCAGTCTCGGCATTTATCTTCATGTGGATCTGTTGATTAACAGATACCTTCTGAATCTTAACATCACTAAGCGCCAAGGTGTATATTTTAAGTAGTTATTTCTCAAGTCCATATCATGAAGAAGATAAAATCCTTCATGCCACACCGCACATATAATAAGTAAAGTTCGCATTATGTAGTAACTTTTAGTAGTGCCACTTGAAAGAGATACAAGATTTATTCATATCATCATGAACATGTCTTCAAGCACGTATCGAGATAAATAACGGAGATACTGGATAACCTCAGTCAGTTCACTTTGAACTGAGATGTATATATTCTGTTGGCTTTATATGGTTCATATTTTAACATAAATGTATATGTGGTTGTTTAGGATGTTACATATATAATCCTGATGGGTAAAAATAAAAAATAAGAACGAGACTAAACTTGACAGGAAACTAAAGCACTTACTTTTTTTGTTAAACATATTCATTATACTATTAAGGATCGATAATTAAATGTCAGAATTTCAAGAAGCTCAGAAAAATAAAGAAAGTTAATATTCAATGATAATACGTTACACACATCAAGCTTTTTAGCTTTTAAGGTTTTACGATAAAATGTACCATTTTTTATTATGAATTGCAGTGAGAAATCTGTTTAAACTGAGGGGAGATTTTTAACTGTTATTAAAAATTAATTCAACGACTCAACAGGCGTCATTGTAGTATCAGCATATCATTATAATTTACAGAGTTGTATTTAGTGTAAAGGTCATTATCCAAGAACATACTGTAAAATAGGAAGAAACTGATTTATCGTTCATCCTCAGTGTATTAGCATATCCATATAAGTTCTTACAGCCTACTAGAATATAAATTTCTGATACGAAGTTGAAGACTAAAACTTATTTCTTTTTTTCTGGTCAGTATGGAAAAATAAGGATACAGTGATGCATATTCATTGGGGTACTATCTAAGGCTAAATTATAGTTATAAAAAGATATAAAGATAAATACTTATGTCCGCGTTCGAGTCTCGGAATGAACATCAACTCCGAGATGCAGGTACATCGCGCTGACTAGTTTGAAATGGAACGAAAGGCACATCACCTGTTTTACTACTAACCACTATTCATATCTGCTAATAAATAATTGGATTCATTCATGATACTGACAAGCGATAAATATATCAGGAATGAAGTAAGAAAAAGTCTTGTAAGAAAAATACCTCAATAGGATTACTGATAGTTCTCATATTAACCGATTTATCTGGGACTAGATTGGACAACCTGTTCTAAGAATCACCAATACTAGACTAGTTCATATTACATTTGGTAGGAGACTCTATACACATCAGTCAACAAGAGTACATTTATTATTATTTTTCAGTAAACGGGGAGGTAAGGTAACACGACATTTTCTTGCATCTAGTATTTTTATATAACTGTGATATAAAAGTGTAAATAGAGGATAGTCTGCAGAATTTATTTCAAAGTGTAGAAAAAATATCACAAATAAAAGTATAACCTCAAAAAGACACGAAAAGATTATAAATTCAGTTCAAATTTATAAAATCTAGGAAAAATATTGCTAAACAACATCATTACAAACAAATTTTAGGGTAAGAAGGATGAATGATTAACAGTTTACATTTAATATTTTAGATGAAATTGACATCGTTCGTTATTCATTGTACACAGAAAGTTTCACTTAACTATCTAACACAGTTATGATTCTTGTGAAACCATTTGAATGTCTGTTAATTTGATTAATTACACAGATATGATTGTTCGTAATCGTAATTTGTTACATATAGATATTCCTTATTAAGTAAACTTAAGATATTCATATCTTTCGAAAGCCAGAGTTTCCTCCTGATTATCGTCTATATCCAAATGACCAAGCGAACCCAAATCACCGAGTTCTTTCACGAGAGTATACCATTCAAAAAAGTCACTCCCCAACTTTTTCGTGAATATTTTATCTTCTTTCAATTTTTGTAGGGCTTCCTGAAAGGTGGACGGTAGCATTTTCACGCGATCATCAGTTCCGTTTTCTGACGGTTTCTGACCAGGAGGTGGTGGTTCGAGCTGACGATCTAAGCCATCCATACCAGCCGCTAAAGTAGCGGCCAGAACATGGTAGGGGCAAGAAGCAGATGATGGGATGCGGTTTTCAATGTATGTGTTCTTCTCATCAAAATTTTTAACGCGAACAGCTACAAATCTGTCACGAAAATCCCAGTTTACAGCACCCGGTGCAAAAAACTTATTTAGTCTTCTATAGCAGTTAATAGTTGGTGAACAAATAGCTAGCATTGCTGGAAGGTGCTCTATCAGGCCGCCGATCCAGTGGCGAGCAATCAAAGATAAACCATCGGGATCTGAAACAAGGAGTGAGGGAAAGTTCAAAATAGTATTATATAAACGCTTCTCCTGAAGAGCTTGCGACAGCTTATACCAGTGCTTTCAATAAGGAAAGTTGAACTTTTTTTCTTTAAATTTTATTTTCGGTTTGGTAAGGCATTATTCATTTTTGAAGGCATTTATATTTTATTATTCTATTCAAATACACTTAGAGAAATAAAATTAGGAACGTGTTTCAAGAGAATAAAACATTTAAACACATCCGTTTACACTTATACCTATATGAAAATTACATTTCTTAGTTGGAATCATTTAGTACATATTATATTAAGTTCCAGTAACTTTGATCAAGATTGTAGATTTTGCTCCTACAAACGGATATAAACTGCATGTTCAAGCAAAATATAAAAATGTAATCTAACTGAAATGACCGAATAGTCATAGACAAATAGATTCGGAAACTCAAGAAGTTTGAAACTAGTCAACAACTTGTCAGATTATTACAATGTCCACATTAAATGATAACACCATATTCCTGAATAAAAACAGATAAGAACTGATATATATATATATATATATATATATATCATGGACCATTATGAAATAGTATAGTTTCATTTCAATAGCTAAGCTTACCTTTCTTATCATAAAATGCATTCTGACCAGTATCGGCATACCACAGTGAATGGTTATAATGACATCCACTGGAACTAGCGTTCAGTAAGGGCTTAGTCATAAACGAAATCTCCATACTGTGTTTTTCACCTATCTCTTTAATAGCTTGCTTCAATATAAAATAATTATCTGCAGCAGATAGCCCCCATGTTGGTACTAACGGCGATTCTAACTGCCCTTCTCCATCCTCATTACTGTAATCTTGAATGTTTATGTTAGCAAGTTGCATGTTATGATCAATATCGATGAAAAAGTCTTCATAGACTGATAGTAGGCTTGTTCTGTATATATCACCAAATTTGGTATACGGAATGGGAAGATTAAATGAAGATGAATTAACCTCACGTGCCTTTGTTGGTTTTAGGCATGTCTTTTCAAATGTGCCTTTTTCAAAAGCTCTAAATTCAGGCTCGAAAGCAGAAAATAAACGTAAATTATATTTAGTTTGCAGTTCATCAATGAGAGTTTTTACTGCGACTCTTGGATGAGCTTTCATTGGTTCATTATTTGGCCAGGCTAAATCACACAAAACAGCACAAATAGAATATTTTCTATTCTCACGATTGTCATCAAGATCAACATTATTATCATTAGAATGTTGCGCTCTTCCATTTGAAATCCAGTAGCATGGATGAAAAGTTGACAGATCAGGTTTAAGTTTACTGTTTACATGTTTTCTTTCTATTATTGCTGGCACGTCGAATACCTGTGATCGAAAAAATTTCAAGTAAATTTGTTTATTATATATCAACAACATTTAGTTTCATACGGGAAAAATCAACTATTGGGAGAATATCATTTGAATGGATAGTTTAATGCCTAACGTATGGTTTCTATGATTTCCAGGATCATCGCTGATAAAAATTAACACATCAGCTCAAAAATTCTGAAAATTTATTCATGCTTTCAGATTGGTAGAAAAAACGTTAGCAAAAGGCATGGTTTATAGCTTAATATCTTCATCATGCTTTTTCAAAATTAGAGGTCAAATACATACTAAACCAGTTATCATCCTTAATCAGCTTTACCAACGTTGAAATCTCCACGAAGCAGCTGCTTTATTCAAAGATAAGGGAATAAATATTCTGAAATTTTAAGAACTAGTTTAAACGTCTGTGATCGTTTCTCTTGAACAATAAAAAGTTTACAGGCCATAGAAACAGGTAAATTTTTTTAAGTTAATTATATCGTATTATCATTGGTTGGTTTGATTTAGACTTATGAATTGGGTAAATCAATTTCTAGAACTTCTAAACATACTTAAAAAGATGACAGTGATCATCTACATTACGGAGGGTTGAAAATGCTACTCATCTATGTTTATACATTACTATCTAGTGATGTTAGTTATGGTAGAGAGTTGAAGTGAAATCTACTTCGAACCAAAAGTAGTGATAACATTTTGTAGTTGTATTATTTTTATATCGACTGAGTAATTCACTGTTTGTTGTAAGATGTTGCAAAATAGTGATATAAGAAAACATCTGCCAGTCAGGTAAAATGATCACAACCTACTGCATCAAGAATATAATAACAGTAATGTGATATATAACATTATGAAGCCATATTTTGAGACGATGAAGTGTGATGATATTGGACTAAAATGCAGCTTCTGATTGACCAAAAATAAAACCACGGAATATGGTAAAACATGCAGGAGAAGCTTTTTCGAACGCTATAAATCGATCGATTTTTTCCCTTAGGCTGTAAGCATTTATTTTACTGAAGTCTTATTTGGTTTCCATTGTAAATTGGTCTTATGTTTCAGTAATACTGAAAACGCTTTGTTACTGAGATGTGAAGACCTAAAGATATAAGGTCGACATTCAATTCCACATTATTTTTCCGCTTACTACTATGGAGTGACGGAAACAAAGGTAGGTATATGAAAAGGTAAAAGAATCTCTGAAGCGAATCCAGGAAAGTAGCAGCGGGTACTTCTGACATGTCAATTCAAAAGACATAAAAACTTTACTACGTGAAGGATTCATAATGCGAAAATTTGTTTCTTTAAGGAATCAGAGTGAGCTAAAAGTCTTTTGAATGGTTATTTAGTGAAAAAATGATGACTGAAAAGTTTAATGAACATATATTGATATAATTTATTGCCAATGATCAATGAAACGCTTTTTTTGGTATAACTACTAGATAAATCACGCGCACAGCCCATTCATAATGCATAACATTTATTATTTGCTACGCCATTGAATACCAAGCACTAAAGGACGAGTGTCTTGACCTCATTTGTGGATCCAAGAATCCCAAAGGGGTCAAACCATGCCTTAATGCACTTTTTCATAAATTCAAACATTACATACTTCTCCATCGATCTGATGTCGGTTGCTTTACTTGGTAATCGAAAATTCTTGTAGAAACTGAAACTCTAAACGCTTTAAGTTCACGGATAGATTCCACATGATTGTTATAAAATCCCTAGCTCATACTTACTTCACCTCGAGCTCCACTTGTTATTGCTCCTGAGTAAACTTCACTTTCCCCGTTTGCAACCTTCCTCGCGAATCGTGTAGATAATAGCTTACTGAGATGAATCCCATTAAGATCAGTAAAACTTAACCGAATATAATCAAATTTGTTTGCTTTCTTTATGAAACTCTCCTTTACTTCATCCAGTTTCAGTGGTTCGACTTCATCGTTCGAATTTGAATCCATTCTAATCGGGTGTTTAATCTCCACTCAAACTATTTATTAAAGAAAATTACACAAGTAAAATGTAACGGAGAACACTTCGAACGTCATTACATTATTCAGTAAAATTAGTTAAAATTATTTTCGAATCAAGCCCAGACAGTTTTACTTGAGTATTTGTCATATTACAGTGAAATAAATAAGATAAGCTATCATGTAAAATTATTTTTACCAATTAAAGTATAATGTTAAGTTTTAAAACAACTTAAGCTTAAAACGAATATTCAATCTCTCATTTCAAAAAGGGGTCCCTAGAGGAATAACTTGCCCTAAGAGAAATTTTCTGAAGTCCCATTGAGAAGCTGTGATCGGTGTACTTAAACGGTATAGGACATGAGAAAAGTACTAACCGAAGACAGTGGAAGATGGTCTTGCAGTATCGTGTTAGACTATTACACCATTGGATGAATTTTCAGTGGTTCGTAAGTCAAACTTTCGTGCTCGAAACTGAATGACCTACGTTCGACTACTGTCTACCGGGTAATGGGTGTACACTACTGAGGAGCCTCATACTAGGACGAAACGGAACTCAAGTTCTCTTAGGTTCTCAGTGGTTGTTTGAATTGGACTGGTTCATGATTTTAGCTTACGATACCAGGCTTTTATATATTATGTAATTCTGATTAAGAGGTTCAGTCATATAATGAGTTGTGTAGGCTTTTATTTTCTAAAGAAAGAATCGTCACCTTTTTCCTTGGAGAGGTTATAAAGTTTACATCTAAACTTTATTAACAGGTGAAAAATATTCCATAAAAAGTACTGGTAATATCACAGGGAATAATTTATTTTTGAATGAAGAGTTAGCGGAAAGTTGCAAAAGATCTATTTTATTTAGACACATGACAAAGGATTGGGATTTCTCTATCGATTTTATTCATTCCATTCTATGTTGTATTGAACAGAAAACCACTAGATATATGAAATTCATTGAACTTCAAGGCGTTTATTTAAACAGAAATTTTAATCCATTCTTTTTTTTATGTACTAGTTATTTGACATTCACATTCAGATAAATAACTGGTAGCCGTCAGTCATTTGATATTGTTTTAAACCCGTTACGTATGAACTGAACTAATTTAAATGATTCAAGGTGAGTGTATAAGTTGATGTTTGCTAATCATTTGAATCTTCATTCTCATAAAAAGTCAATCAGCATTTAGTTTCATAAGTAGACTATGAAATGTAAAATTATTATACATGAGTATAATGATGAGTGTAGTTATGGTCACATCATAACATTTTCTACGAGCTCAATTTTAGATTAGCTCCCCCAAGAACCCTTCTAAGGTTACAACCGGTCCCGAACCTGGTTTAATGAGAACGGCTGGACATTGGGCTAGAAATTTTCATTTTTGGATTGATTTTGTATTTTTCAGCTTTCTGTGCACATTTAAATTCGAATGTATTGGTAATTTTATCAGGAAACACAGGTAAGGTTAGAATTAAAATGACGATGAGTTTTTTAATGATTCAATCTAAGAAATTCAGTTTATATTTTCAGTGCTCAGTTTTTTACTAACTAACATGATACTAATTCCTTTGTTCTCGCTACAACATAATAAAATAATCTTAAACAGATAAAATCGTATTACGGAATACTTCCACTGAATAGCTTAAATAACTAATAGGTAGTAATATTTTGTGAAGCGTTTACTATTTCTGTTCAATGTGTTTTGTTAGCAGTAATCATAGCGTGAAATAAAGATGGAAGTAAAGCCAGTTGACATTTTTTGAAATGCTTCATGATGCGACAGAATATGATGCTTTTATTTGTCTTTCTAATTTTTGGAAGAATTCTTGTACTCGTCATCGAAACATTAAACATAAACAACAAAATTAATCTACCATGATATATTATTATTATTATTATTATTATTATTATTATCAGTTATTAAAAGCGATCAATTTTTTAATAAGGTCAGGTTTTAACAGGATCGCTATGGAATATCACCTTATAATGAACGATGTAGAGCTAGTAACTGATAAAAAGTAATCAAAACGTTATTCTTAAGGAGAAAGCAAAAAGAGCTTTTGTATGCAGTGCTAGCATCATAATAACTGTGTTAATTAAAGGTGAACTGATAAGCTGTTTCCATATTCTCGAACTGGCTGTATATTGCAGTCAGAGAATTATTTTCATAAGAGAAGCATATAAACAAGCTTATCAATAACATGTAGTTAGTATGTCCACATGAAGCATAGTTAGTTCAGTAGTGCTTGCATAAAGTTAATATATTTCATCAAGGATGTTCAAGTCTACACATAAAACACAAAGCCTCCATGGTTATATGAACATTTAAGAATGTGAATGTAGAATATTCTTAAGCAACATGAATTTACAAACAGACATAAATTATTATAATTTAGAACAATAAATGTTTTATTTAAAAATCGTTTTTATACTGAAATTATAAGTTTATAAATGTATCTGAGATTTATAAGATGCGGAAAATTTCTTTGATTCCTAATGAACTATACACATGAACCAAATTTCACAGAAAAGTAACAATAGTAGAACGGTCGTAAATTTTAAGCTGATGACATATTATTGGTGCCAAGTAGTTAAGATAGTTATTTGATTTTTTTAAAAAAAAATGCCCTAACATAAATGAAAAATTTGAGTATATCATTCGCACAGTTTCGGTCGGGTGATTGCACAATATTTAAATCGGTGAATACACAACTGATAAACGCTCCCTAAATGTGCCGTCATTTACAGTTTCAGTGTTTTGTGGTTATATAAAGCACCATGGACGATAGCATTCTGACGGAGTTTCGCTCTCTGAGCTGGATAGCATTCTGGTCAAAAAAATATGATTTTTAAGTGTTCCAATGTACTCAGAGTAACATGATAGAAATTAACAATGATGAAAACATGGAAGATCATAAAGATAAGTAGTTTTATTCAATAAAAGAATTTGGAGTTTGATTTAAATAGAGGTTATATAAAAAAAAATCTATGCCACCAAGCATATTAATTTCTAGATATTTATTTCCATTTTTATCTTGTCTTTATAGAATTCACTTTCTAAACTCACTTGAGAACTTTAATCCGATAAGACAACCAATCAGTTAGTCATTTGAGACGTAGAAGTTTGTACGTATGTGCATTAGTTCAAGCACATATATCACACTAGCGTAGAGAGAAGAAATAGTCACGCCAGGTCTCAGAATAGTGAAGACAGTGACAGTATTAATGGTGATGGAAAAGATCAGAGATCGATGATAAGATTGAGGAGAGTATAAAACGTTGTCAGGAATTCCGAGGTCTAGAATTTGAGGGAAGATAAAGAATTGATGCATTTGAGCCAATGTATACGATTTCGAGCTATGCCGAAATCAAGTGGACCTTAACCAAGTAGTCTTAACCTATTACCATGGCTCAGTCCAGTTGTCAGTGACTTCATGGATTTGTGCCATGTTTTCATCTGGCCACCCCTAGCTTTCTTCCAGTCTACCCCTACATCGATCTACCCGACATCGATCATCGAGGTGGTCGGTAGTTGGGCTTACGTAACACATGTCCCAACCGCCTCAACTGATGGAGTTTCACAACTTCGTCAACTGATTTGCCATCCTTACCTACTACCCTTTTTCTAACACCAGCACTGCTTATTCGATTTTCCCAGGATATACGAACAATTCTTCAAAGAACACTATGATCGAATACTAGTAACCTAAGAATATCCTCTATTCTTGATGATCATGTTTCACACCCGTAAAATGGAATGGAATTGACTGCTACTCCGTAAGCTTGTTTTTCGGTAGGTACAAGGACTTTTCACCTATGCCATAAATGACAAAAGTTGGTAAGAACCAATCAAGCTTTCTATATTTGTGCCTAGATTTCGTCAGATATTAAGCCGTGAGGACTTGTAGGACTCTAAAGTTGTCGGTAAACAGTCCCAACTACTTCAATCATTATTAATAGTTCAGTCGCCGACTTAAGCCAATCTCGAAGAAAAATTCCGCATCTCAAGAAGGAGAATCGCATCCCGAAATGTTTGCATTGTTGTTTAAAGTGGTAAGAAGACTCTGTATTTTGTCAAATTCTTCACCAAATAGAACTATCTTATTCACATTCTTCACATCAGAAAGTGTTTCTTCCGCTCGAAGGTCCACCTCTGAAAAGTTAGACGACGAAACTGTTATATCTAAAAGCATTTCTATGACAAGGTTGGATAAAATTCGGGAAAATGGACAAGCCTGACGAACACCACTTGATAACTGGCGGTAAGTGTTGACTCAACCGGTAGTGTTGTCGACCACACATAATTGGTAACAGACCATTATTTACAGTCCATAATGAGCTGAATAATATTTAACAAAAATAAGAACAGCGTTTGGGCTGAAAGCTAAATCTATTGCAAGAGAATGAGTTCAGAGCTAACTTTAAAATAATCAGTTGACCCAGGCAATTTTAATCTTTGTAAAGGTTGATTTAGTGAAATATATCCACACCATCAGTATAGTACATAATTAATTTTGTTCGTTGTATTATGAAAATATATTCAGATTTTTAAAATATATCTTTACCAAACTACTGAAAAATTTTGGACAACTGAACTTCATATGGTTAACAGATTCTTGCATTTAATGTAGCATGTACTTTTGTACTTTTTATCTGTTTATTTTGCCCAGAAAATACTACAACAATGAAACTTTATTTCATTCAGACAATATCAAAAATTAGGAATAAATCGCAACAGATATTTTTCATATTATCATTAATCTAAAATGTTAAAAAATTACTCTAAAGCATAAATATGTAGGTTTTGTACTGAACAACTGATTCGCTGTACCCAATTTCGAGAAAATCAGTCTTGTTAAACAGGTAAATTGTGTCAAACGATCATAATACCGTACCGAGAACACCGCCACTATGAATACCATATAACAATTAATTTACCATACAGTGATCGACTGACATAAATGGTAACTGAAGTAAAGTAAAAATAAATACTTCTTTGAAGCTCAAGT